ACTTGTATATACTTGGCGTAAATTTTTTTTAATGATTAGTATCTCGATAACTATTGCGAAGATCGCAAAATGGTAGAGGACTTTTTTGTTCAGTTTGGTCCACACTACCTGCCCACAAGCGCTGTACCATTGAGTACGAGACACCCTGTATATACACACATAGTACGTTTTACAAAATTACTTTATATATAATTCAAATTTATGACACAATAGTGTACATAGAAGGAAGTATACTAGGAAAAACCACATTACTAATGTCTAATCTCTTAACGGTAATTTATCTGAAACATATTATACGTTAAAGTGTTCTTCCGGTTATTACATATAATTGAATGCCTAAGAATTGTTGCGAATCATCGTATAAATCTTTTCTTACAAACAGTGTCACGAATCTAATGTAGATTTTCCATCGACATGACAAATAATTTTCCATCATTCGCATTAGTCATATATCTGCGTCGCGAAATAACGTGTCACTCAATATTAGCGAAGCTATAATGCAAGAGGAACGTGTTCGTAGGGAGCGGCGTATTACAATTTTGAAAAATAAACTTCGAAAGTAACCAAACCAGCATTTCGTGAGAAATCTCGAGCGGTAGTCCAAACATATATAATAAAGCCTTTAACTAAGAGGAAGTAAGAAAGGAGGGGAGGCACATATAATATATATATACAGGAGCGCGCGAATGTACATGTCTGGAAACTTTAAAGACGATGTTATTATCTAGAAATATGAATATAAGTACAATCGATCTTCGTTACGCCAAGTTTCACAATGACAATGCACAAATATTCTCATAATCCTCGGTATTACAAGAATTCTCGGATCATCACGAAGTCGTGTAGTACGAATAGTACTATAAGCAGAGATCATATAAATTATGTAAATTAGTACGTAGTATATAACTTTGTATCTCTTTTCTAGGACGGCGATTAAAGCGTGGATTCCCCTATGCTTTACCGAGTATTGATTCTGTACGTTTTGTTCGACGCTCAAAGTATTCGCGCCGGATCGTTTTATGTACTACATTCCATTTTTTTCATATTTTTATTATGCTTTTTCTGATGCAATTAAATTACACCATGACAATAAAAAAAATACTTGCTCCTTTCATGGCCAGCCCATAATTCCCAATATAAATTTATGTTGCAATACGACTTATATATTCATAAGCGAAATAAGCTAACAAAATATTTTAAAAGGTTAAATTCAGGCTCAAAAACTTTTATACTTTATGACTCCAATTTATTTTATTCTCTTATAAAATCTATTCTTTCGTTTTTTGTATCTATACAATGCTTTATAAAAAAATTTATATCTTTGATGCATACTTTTCTAAATTGTGGATTTTTAATCGTTTTTAAAGTTTCAAGAAAAAACCTTTTAAATAAATAATCACACAAATTAAATATTTCATTAACCGTACTAATATAATTTTTTCAAAGTCCAGCAAAACAACGAGTCACGATAATGGCAAAATGACGCAATAAAAAAAGAATTTGATTGCATTGACTGGAAATCTGATAGTCTCAATATAGTATGTTTGTTCGAAAATTGACAAGATAAAATTCTGATGGTTTCTTGTTTTGTTAGATAATTCTAGCAATGCACATTGTACTTCACTTTCTTATCCTCGTTATTGTCACGTGAAGTAGCATCGTTTATTTCATTTTATTTCATTAGATTACACGTAGTTTTAGTATTTCGTCCAAATTATACACACAAATATGTGTGGTTTTGGGTGGGCCCTGGTAAGGCACCCCAAATTTTTGGCACTTTACTAAAAAAATCACCTTAAATTCAATAAACCAGAATTTCTTGTTGTGTAATCGAGTGTTTCTTAAATAATTAATACATTTTAGCACAGATTTTTACATAAATAATTCAAGAAAGAAACAAAGACTTTTGACTTTTCTGAAAATACTTCATTCAAGCAGAGGTAAGAAAGGGGAAGTTTTAATAACACAAATGTTTTCTATTGTTGTATGTGCGAAATAATATATTTTCTGCATATGTACATATAGCGTGCAGCATGAATATTAATACTAATACAACGTGAAGTCAAATACAGTTTATTCTACTTGTTAATAATTGAATTTAACTATCAATGATTATCGAAAGAAAAGGTGAATAATATCAATGGCAACGATCTTATTGTTAGTTTTAAATCTTGGACACCGTAACTTTCCAAGTAGCAAAATGACGTTAAATGACGTCTTATAATAATGTCTTAATGACGCCTTTAACGTTAATTAAACGATATTAAGACGTAATTTAACGTCACCTTGTTATTTAGTCACACCGGAAAGAAAACGTTGCGTGTTTTCCGACTAGGATTAATGTAATGAATTATAATTTAAAAATTTGTATTTGCGGCTGAAGGAAGACTTAGTAAATTCAAAATGTTCCGCTTTAATTTTATCGAATAAAATTATATAATTATATTACATTTTTGTTTGCTCGTTTATTGATTTTTTTCTCCTCTATTTTATATTTTAATATTTTTTATTTAAATGTTTTTTTATATTATATTTTTAAAAATATTTATTTATATCTTAATTTATAACATTATTAATAACTTTTGTTTTAAAAAGATGTTTAAAAAATTGGTTATAATATAAGAAAGAGATACAAAATCTATAATATCCATCTGTTATAACCTTTTCGCTCAAAAAATGAACCGAAACGTACGGATTTATGAATTAAATGTCTTTTTTGTCTTAATCAATTGTATTAAATTATTATTGCGCATTATTTACCTTGTTGATTTATATTCGCCGCTTCCTTCAGTCATTATATATAATAAAAAGTTAAAAGATTTTTTAATTATATTTTTATTATTCATACATTTGTGAATATCATTTACAATGAATTTGTGTATTATCGTGTATTACATCGAATATGCTTTTGTGTTTTAAATATTTAATACACTTTTTATATGCTTTATATTTTAATACTATATCTGAAAAAGATAATATTTAAAAGAGATTGTTCAATTTGTTGGAAGTTACGACGAACAATTGACGAATGCTTTCCCGATGATCGAGTTAACAAATCGCTTGTTAAGCCAACGCTTCATATTTCAAAATGTTTGACAATAGCTTTTGTTGGGTAAGTGGCGAAATGGTGTCATTTGTAATCGATAACGGAAGCATGATATACGCTTTATTGTCTTATTATTAATTTTTCATCTTAACAGAAATAAAGTTAGTTAAACGCTCTAATTTTTAACTATTCATTTTGTTGTTATAAATATTTACCGTGTCAAAAAGTTCGATGATTTTTGCGAAAAAATACCACATCAAGTGCCTCGTGATACCTGTACATCCAACATATATATTTAAGAGTTTTAATAATCATATATAATTTTGACAAATATTAAAAAATTGTTGAAATTAGAATTAAATTCAATATTGTTAAAAATTATGAGAAAGATATTTACCGCTACTTGTACATTTATGTCAGGTGATAAATGATTATCCATGAGCAAAAAATAAATATTTAATATCGACGTTCAATATCTGAAATCGACGAATATTTTATAGATTCTTATGTATTTCAAAACGTATGTGACAAATTTATAGTTTGATTAAATTTAATAAAACTTTATTTTTTCCTTATTCATATCATATAGTTAATAATCGTATCATATGTTTTAAAGCGGTTTATTCAGTCTTTTGAATATAAAATGTAAGAAAACGTGAAATAGAATATTTATATATCGTGATTGTGCATTTATATGTTTTTCTTCCTTTAACACTTATTAAACACTAATGAAATGGGACTATATTTACAGGAAGTTAAACTTACCAGAGATGTTAACCAAATGCTGAATAGTACTTGAAATGCATTATATCCGATCATAATGTTATTTAGCTAAAAGGCTGGCCTTTTTTTCATCATTTTTTCCAGCTTTTAAGACGAATATCAAATACGCGCTAACAATACATAACATAGGATTCGGAGATTCCATTAAAGGCCAAGTATCTACCATTGGATCTGTCGTAGAGGAATGTAATTTATTTATTTTTGGCAAATTTTTAAAAAGCAAAATGTATTTCTTCTATATATATTTGTATTGTGTATAAATAGATATTAGTGCATAACAGTTGCATTAATCAATTATATTCAATGCAAGAGAATAAAAATAGTTATGGTAATATACATATAGTTTACCTATATCAGAATGTACGCAGAAATTGTCTGTTAAAATTTATGTTAATCTTCTGTGAAATATTAAGCGAATTACGTTTACAGTTACTATATCACAAAATATTAGTATTATGATGTATGTATCATTATACACGTTATAAAAAGATTTTGTCACGTTTCGTGATTTGTGTGATTTGTCTAACAAACAAAATGAAATATATACGAATACATCAAGTGCGCTAATCACCTAACCAGAAATTTTATAGATCCAACTAGAAAATATTAATCGAATCCGTAGTTAAGTCTATCAAATATTCTAATTATAAATCGAATATTATTATTATAGTCAAGAATTCTGTTTAGTTTCATCAAAATTCATTCAATCATGTTTGTTGGTACAAACAAACTGTTTTTTTTTTCAATGGGCTAACGTAAATTATGACTAATCAAAACATGATTTTTTAAAATCATTTTGGGGCCATTTTGATATCATTTTTTATGTCATGATGATTTGTTGTTCTGTTTGGATACGAATTATTCGCAGGATGCAATTAGAAGTGAATTGAAAAAAAATTAATCTAAATTATGCATAGCTTTTCCTTTTCCAAATGATAAGCCTCCAAATAACTTAACAACAGTGATGAAAGAAAAGATACCGGTCTGAAAAAAACTCTTTGTCGATACGTTGCTGTTACTACTGCTCCGGAGGACGTCTACGTCATTTGCGAAAGGGGGAAAGAACCGTGGCGTACCGTGCATCCGTCGTGCAGTAGATACGAACTGTCACTCCGCACACGGTGTTCAAACGGCGTTAACTTGCATCGGAGACTAATCTCCGCTCTATTCATCTATACTGCTTCGCCGGTGTTTTCTTATTTTCCAGTTTTTTTGCGTCTTGAATTAATCTTTATACGCATAATCCGCCTGATCTCGCTCGCCATTCCGATACTGCGAACGATCGTGTGAACAACGGGGCCCGTGCAAGAGAGAGAGAAAGTACTGGTGGACGATAGGCACCGATAATAAAAAAAAGTCGAACCGTGTGACGAAAAGAAAGGAAAAGTAAAAAGTCTAATCCAGCGACGAAGATCCGACAGGTTTTATTGGAAAGGCGCAAATTGATCAGTGGACTTTGGTCAAAGATCTTTCGGGATCGCGAGACGATCGGAGACAGCTGTACATATCGCCGATTACCCTAGCTTCGGCTGGTGGCAAGAAGATTCTGGTCGAGATTCAGTGACGGATTTTGTTCTGTGAGTATTAATTATTATAATTCAGTATCAATAAATTATAGTTGTATTTCGCAAAAATATCTTGTTCAGATGACAAGTTGGAGAACATCTACTGTTGACCGATCTGTTTTTCTCGTATTATTTTGAGTTTAATCAAGCAGCGTTGTACGCATAAAAAATAAATTAAAATAAGTTTCAAATTTAATCAAGTTATGATTATTAATTTTGACAGGGTAAAACTCATTTTTTCATAATATTATCTAATTTTTCATGTTTTTAAACTGTATCATAAATCGTTATATATCAAAAATAGTTGACTACGTTTTACATTACAATTTAAAGAAAAATAAAATAATGAATATAGAAAAATAAAATAATGAAATATAGAAAAAGAAAATAGTGAATTTAAATCTTGTAATTTTCTGCACAAATAAAATCACGTATCGATTCATTCACTTGGACTGACCACGTGGATTCAACGTACGTGCTTTAAACATTTTATAGAATATGTAACTTCTATTTCCAAGTACCATTTTGAAAATGTGCATAGATATTTCCACTTTAATTTTAATGCACGATAAAATAATGGGAAAAATTTGATAATTATTTTAAATTAAAATTGATTAGTAATATATTGAGAAAAGATTAAGTATAAATATTAAACTAGTTGAAATAAAGTAATAATGTAAAATATAAATTAACTTTTATCCTTCAATGTTTGTTACTTATAAAAGAAACAAAATTCTTACTTAACTTTGTTTTATTTCATATATATCTTTTAATTTAACTTTTCACCTTTTTTTTCTCTAAACTTTAGCTTTGTAGACTCATGCACTTAATTTGATTCTTAACCTTTAAACTACTATATCGGTCTCACAGACCGCTATTGAAACGTTACTTGTCAACCATTTTCTTATTTGTCACCATTTAAATATATTTTATTTCTATTGTATACGAGATTTTTTTGTTAACCCTTACATTGAAACATAGTTTTCTTGTTCCCCATCATAAATATTCAGAAAATATACATTTTTATTATAAATAACTTATAAAATTAACGAGAGCATAATAGCGGTTTGTCGGACCAACATTGTGATTAATGTGATTTTTTTGGGAGTGGTGGTTTAAAGGTTAATAAATTAATTAATTTAATATTTTAATAAAACAAATTATTCTCATCTTTTTATTATAAAATTGAGTAAATATTTAAATAAAATTTTATAAAACAAAAATCCTTTATTTTAAAATCTCAAATCAATTTATTTCTGGATTTTTTTCTAAAACCAGAGAGAAAGAGAGAGAGAGAGAGAGAGAGAGAGAGAGAGAAAGAAATACATTAAAATGTTAATATTTGCACAGATATAAACATTTGATTATATTTCAGTATTATAATAAATGCTCTCCTGGCTTCTGTTAAATTGAAATTTCACTGTGCTTTCTTTATATGTTTTAATTACGTTACAAATTTTATTTGTATTATTATTTATTTATTTATTTTGTATTATTATACAATAATTATAATTTGAATAAGAGCCTATGTGAATAATAGGTTCAAATCCTGGCTGAGGTATTATTTTTCGCAATTAGTTTTTTTCAGTATTTTAAAATAATAAGCTTCAATTTATTACGAATTGAAGATTAAAATGATATCTTTATTCCAATCTCAGCTAATGATTGCGTTGCGAGTTCAAACATTTAATCGGCGCGCAGTTTAACGGCTGAATATGGAATTAAGAAATTTATATAGAATTCGTTAGACTAGATTTAAGGTCATCCAGCCGTCGCAGAAGGCGCTCACGAATCAGTTTTGTATTATATTATATTAATATTTATATTATTATTTATTAACAATAAAATTAAATTTGTGATATTTAAAATTTGACTATTGTAGTGTTTAATACTATGCATATTTTTATTCACACAATATTTATTAAATTGTTTGCTAAGCCGAGATATCGCAATTATTTTTTTTGTACGCAATATCAACGTATCAAAATTATTAAAGAATACGTGCCTATTTATCTATCTACTTATCTGTCTATTTGTTACGCTAAATAGTTCTGCTCAATTGAATCACATAAGTATAGTTTACCTCTCTCCGTTTTAAGTTTATTTGATTTGATCAATTACTACGTAGTTTTACATAAGTAAAGTGAATTCACTTACGAAATAAATTGAGAAACAAAGGAAAACATTATGATATTAAAATATCTTCATAAATGCATTTTTTTTATATGGCAAGACTCTATCAAATACTGTGTACCTTCACTTATATCTTATATGCCAATCTCTCAGGTTCAACGAAATTATCAGTGAACGGTTCCCAAATCTTTTGCATTCCAATGAATTTCATTAATGCGTAAATATTTGTAGTTTCCTTAGATTTTTCTTTCATTTTTAATTGGTCGCATACTTTATTAAAAAATATAAAAAATGAATGGCTAATCCAGTTAATCACGCATACCGTAGCAAACTTTAATTTTAAATTATAATATTTCCTATATATTTACATTGTTTATTTTAATGTATATATATATATATATATTATATATGCAATATAGATTGATTTATGTGCAATCCACCAAAATTTTTTAATTTTCATTGGTTTTCAATGTTCCGTTTTTTTATGGTATTTACGTAATATACGCGCACGCATTAGAGATTATTTTAATTTTACGCATTAAATGTGGGAACGAGTACGTACAGTTAATAAATAATTTTTAATTTACAGCAAAAACTTCATTTGTTCGGAAAACGCATTAAATGTGGAACCGAGTACATACAGTTAATAAATGATTTTTAATTTACAGCAAGAACTTCATTTGTTTGGATTATTTAAATTTTATAAACAATTAATTTACATACAATTACATTACTTCTGCAAAACGCACATTCAATCGCTGTACATGGTTTTCTATATAAACTCGCAGATAAGGCGATGGCATGTATACCGGTTTCTACGGACATTTCACAATTGTTTTGTACAATGAGAAATGCGATTCGTGTATTCAATGACCCTTTTATGCCCCTGGTATATATTCAAGAATTAGCAACCGCAGGATATGTCGTTCCAAAAGAGTAGCATACATATTAATGTTACCGCGGCAACATTAAGAATATATATACATATGCACATATATATATATATATATATATATATATGTATGTATATATATATACATATAAAATATAAATTGTCGACCGATCGCGAAGCCAGACAATTTTCTCGCGAGTCTCGATGCCGAAGGACGCGTGAATGGGCAGCCGGAACTTTTTAAGGACGCGGCCGAGAAAGTCACTGACTTCAACGTACGGCTGATAATGACGTATCATTATTTTATTTAGCTACCTATCGACCGCAAAATTAGTTATACGTACGTTCGGAGCGCAAATAAGGAAGCGCATCGAACAGTTCGAAGGTCCCATACGTTGAATTGAAGTATATTAAGTCAAGCGAGCTGAAAAAAATCCGAGGACGTTACAACAAAAGAGATCTTTGAGGGAGCTCAAACTCCGATATAAGATGTATCCGATATAAGATAAATAACTCGCGCCACTCAACAGGGTGTCGGTCGTATTTAAAATAATTCGGTCGTAAATAAAATAACATTATTCAAAATATGTATTTTAAATACAAAAAATAAAAGACTTATTTAGTATTTATTATTTTAAATAATTTTTTTCGATCTATTTTTTATTTAATATTTTAAATATATTTTTGGAATTTGTTTTATATTTATCATTATAAATAAATCAGTTTTTTACTGGCCTCTGCGATATTTTATTTAAATAAATTTCTGGAATCTATTTTAAATTTGTTATTGTAAATAAGTTGTATCAGTTATTTTACCGACTCCTGCTCAACAAAGCTATAAAAATTTTTCTGCTGTAAAAATTTTGCAAAATTTAGTAACTAACTACTTCCCACTAATCGGTTAAGTGTCTTGAACATTATTTCCATTTAAATTCTCCCAAGCGTTTCAATTAAACGTTCGGTGTACCTTTCATTCGCCAATTATCGAGACAGCACACACGCATTATAGATATCAATAGTGTTGTTATAGTTTACGTGCAATTAATATTTCAACGTCGATATTCTTAATTTCCGAACTTGCGACAGAAAACGGGGAAAGGATCCGGATCAATTTTATCCGATTTTATCGCGAGCAATGATGCAATTACGTACAAGAATTAACAATATCGCTGCATCGGAAATACCGCACGCACTTTTACGTTGCATATATACGTTAAAGTGTTTTTTATTTGTTCTTTACTCGAAGCATCTCACGTGCTGCATAATTCGTTCCGTAAGAACCGAATAAACATTTTGCTACGCATATTGTGACACGTGACTGCAAAGACGATTAGATCGCAAAAATGTACATATATAACATTCCCATGCCGAGCGCATGTCAAACAGTTAATGAAAGATTTCTATTTAACAGTTAATGAAAGAAACTATTTAAATTGACTAGCTAGATTACATTTACGACTGCTATAATTCAATTGCTGTTCAATTGTTGAATTAACCGTTATATTTGCACATAATTTCGTGAATTTGCATTCTGAAAACTGCCTTTAATAAAAACTACATACTTTCTAAGTATATGTTTAATTTTTTATTTTCAATAAAAAGTTGTTAGATATTTTTGTTTATGTATTTTAAATTACACCTAAAAAAATATTCTGTTTATAAGCGGGAAATTGCTAGTATTTCCTCTGAACAAAAATACCTTACATGAAGTATATTTCTCTATAACACGTATATTTATCTATAAAAAGTGGACGTATGAGTAAATTCAAAACAAGAGTAAATTCCTCTAGGAAATTTTATTATAGCAAATCGAATAGCTTTGTGAAATAAAATGATATGTAAAATACTCGCGGTACACTAATTTATTAGAAAAGGACTGTCACACTTTTAAATCTATTGTGTCAAATTGAGCCTTATTTAAGTCGCTACTGCTCCTACTTAATAAATAATTATTTTTAACTAAAACAGTACAGTTACTTTTAAATAA